ATTTATAACAGGAAACCCAGACCAAAGCAACCTATAAGGAAACAGTGGAGTTTCATATTTTGAAGCTCAGTTTAAGACCAACACATTTAGAAACATAAATTTATATTTTTAAATTTATATATCCTAACTTCATCACATCATCAGCTTGTCTCTGAATGGATAGATGAAAAAGGCAAACAATTAATCAAAAAGCATTCATTGTTCCAAATAGATCTGAGTTAATTGGACTGTAGTGAGGAAGACAGTGTTAAACAAGACTTAACGGAAAATAATTACCTTGTTTAAATTTCTACTATTCTGAATGGACATTGGTGAGCTTGATTATTAAGTACTACTAAAGTGAGAAATATTACTCAATTTTTCCTGTACATGGCACTTACGCTCAGACTAACAAAACAATTTAATGTTGTATATTGTAATAATATTGTATTGGTTACTATTTAAAACATCACATTTACATCATACAGCTTATTGTATGTTGTCACATTTTGTGGTTGAAGCTTGTACCTCGCAAGAAGCAAATCACAAAAATATAAAAGCTTACATGACTCATATTTAAGACCTGAAAAAGTACTAATCTATAAAAAAAACTAAAACTCTCACATTGAAACCCATTAACGTTGTGCTTCCATTATCCAACCTAATGACAAACTGAAGAACTAATTTGCATGTAGACATAATGGTGCTTATAAAATCCCTACAATGACAATTAAAAGCATCAAGGCAGGAGCAGGAGAAAAAAAGTCACTTTCATGTGCATGTTGTTAAACAGTTAAATTTTCCAGATGTGGTACAAAGACCAAAACAATGAAAAAAAGAGTTGACATGTTTACAGGATCTCATTGCAGTTCATTAAGCACTCAGAATATTCTTTAGGTGTCAAGCTCTGCGATTGTGAATTTATACATTTGTGCAAACACAGTATGACTTATGTTCAGTGCCTTAACAGTCATGATTATCTCTTTGGCTATCAAATATTGATTTTGTAGCAATAGTATAGCATTCACAGTAATGTACTGTAAACTTTTATTACAGTCTAAAAGCAATAAAAGTAGAATGTTTACTATGTGTTTTTTTTTCCTCATTTAGACATTTTGAGGCAGGCAGTTCATCACTAATCAGGCATGTCTTCATCTATCAATACTCACAGAACACTAAGAGACGCACAAATCATCTGAGTGTCACAAAAACACAAAATTGCAAAAGCTGAGAATCAAAAAAGTAACATAAACAGACCTTCAATGAACATAACAATAAAGAAAAGTACCTTTCATTAAGCTATTACTATTTGTGCCCAAGCATAAATGGGTTAGATGGAAAGTTGAAAGCCTGAGAATATATTCAAATATGTGCAATGAGACAAAAAATATGTTTTATTCATGGTTTTATTACAGAGTAGTTTTAATACACGGCTTAACAAGTGATACAACAGGTATAAAATATTCTAAAATACACATTAGCTCTCAAAAATCTTGGAGTTTAATCTAGCATATGGTTCAGAAGTAAATCCTTCAACAAACCCTACTGTGTCTCCAAGTTTATTAATTCAGTTTTAGCATGAACATTTAAATAATAGTGCCAGGATAGCACTGCATTGCACATTCAATAAATCTATATTAAATATCAGTTCACCTCCAGCAGTGATTGGCATTTTCATTCTCAGTGCTAATTATTTACATTATACAATTTTTACAATATGATTGTTTTGACAGAAGTAATAATAGCAATTTTATAGTCTTTTTAAATAATCACAGAAGTACGAGAAAGGCATCCAGGTGTTTGATATTTTTGGAGTAATTTATTAAAAGTAAAACATAAATAACCTGTTAATAATTCCCTGAGCATAATGTATGTGTAAACCTTAATGTCAGTCTAATATGAAAATATGATTGTGTCATAAATGATCAAAAAAATGCATGTTTTTGATTATCAAGACCAAATTTATTTCAAATAAACAATTTAGGATTTAAAATGACTGGATGCATTTTAAAATGACCTAAAATTTTGATATAAAAACAGGTCAGCGTTTTACTCACTTGCTGATTTACTTTTGTTTTTCTTTGGTCCATTTTTTGTTTCCTTACAGGAGACAGTATGCCACATTTCCTGAACACTTGTCTTTACTTTCTGTGAACCCTCTACATCTACATTTTCGCTCAGAAGCTGATCTTGGTTTGGGCTTTGAGATTTTAAAATATCCTCCTTTAACAAGGAGCATGTTTCATCAAACTTCAGGGAAGAGTGTTTCTTCTGTCTCTGGGAACATCCTGCACTTGCTACCTCCTCAGAAATATTGTTTTCAGCATTTGCCGTGGCACTCGAAGCAAATGAACCATCAGCTGGGTTATCTGAGCTCACAGAACCGGTGGTGTTGTTTGCATCACTTTGCAGTATGGTGGCAACCACACTGAGCATGTTTGCCTCTTTTTGAGCGTCATCAGTTGAAACTTTGGTGGAATATTTGAAAGAGCTTCCAGGATAAACAAACGAGAAGCTTGCAACTCGACTTTTGGCAGCAGAGTGAGGATTTCCAGTCATCATTCCTAGAACTTCATAACGGAAGCTGGAAATATCTTGCTTGAGCTCCTAATGAACGATAAAACCAAAGATTAAATATCAGAAATAACTAGAAAGCTATAAATAAAGAAGTATGTTTACTTCTCATGTACCTTGAAGTTTTCTTCTGTCAATCCTTCTTCAGTTTTGGCATCTCGGATCATTGCGGCCACATAGCGCTTCACAAGATTCTTTAAAACCTCCTAGAAATAAATACACATTATTATTTGTTTACTATGTCTCAGTAAATAAAAATAAAAATCCAAGACACTATTCCACTTTAGAAGATCAAACCTGATACTCATGTTTTAATCGGACATTCTCAGCTGCACGGAACTGTAGAAAAAGAAAAAGAACAAAAGTAACATAATAGGTATCTTTTCGTTTGATTAGTCAATTTAAGAACATCTCAGGATGCTCAGTAACACAACCTAATCAGTTTCTGAGGAAAAATTACTTCTGAATAATTTTAAGGCAGAAATACTAATGAAGTGCTGTGGCAACAAGACAAATCCGACAAACTTCTGGCAACTTCTTACCCCCAAAGTCTCAAATGTGTCAAGTCTTTTTTTGCTTGGCCTCCTAATCAAAAAGCTTTTTATCCATCTACATAGATAAAAAACTGACTTTGGACTGGGGATTATGTTGAATGGAGAAGATAAGGTTCCCCCTTCTTCAAAATAGCTCATCCATAGTTTTGTTCTTGCAAATTTCCATTCAATGTCTGCATGATCCTGAAAAGAAAAAAGAGTTTATTACAAAAGTTTTTTTTATTTAATGCTTCAAAAATCATTGTACAACAATAATACAAATGGGAAAAATTGCAGTTTCCATGACTGCTGAGCTCTGAATGACTTTGTATTGTTGTCAACTCCACTAAGATACTCATCTATTGGCCATCTTAAGCTGCTAAAAGTCACTAAATTACATCATCACACAATACATTTCATTTTTATGGATGCTATAATAACACCACAAAAGAGGTAAAAAAAATGGAGTAAAACACATCCTAAATATGTTTAGAACTGATTGTTGTTAATTGGAACAATACATGATTTCATGTTAAAGCATCTAAAAGGTGCCAATACCATTCTTGCTTTTTTAAAGTCAAAGGTGTCTGAATTCTCACTAAGTACAGCAGAAAGGTGGCAACACTGAAATTTTGCTGAAGGAATCCTGAATCAGCAGCGACACAATGATCACCCAAAGGACTCACAGCAATGTGCTGGTAGGAGTTGTTCATCATTGCAATAAGCATGTTCAAAAGCACCACCAACGAGATGATATTGTAGGTGCCGAACATAGTGGTGCCCACGAACTCTGTGAATTCATGGTTTGGCTTCACATTGGTCACATACAGGTTAATCAGTCCAAACACAGACCAGAACAATGACTGCAAGGTTTCAAACAACCTGAAAGGCAAACACACACATATTACATTAATAAATACTCGGAAATGAAAAGAATCTGTAATGTAAGGCAAATTATTATTTTTATATCTTACTTACGTTGTAAAGGCATTGTTCTGTGTTTGACAACGAATCCCCGTGCAATTCTTCACACCCTCTGGTTCATAATAATAATAATAGAGCTGATTGATGCCGTTGGCAAAGGCCAGCAGGACTAAGCAGTAGATGAAGAGGAACTTGAGGATATCCAAAAGCATACGACCCAGCGAAATCTGTAAAGGGCCCAAGTGGGAGTTGGCAGTGAAAAGACTGATGAGGCGTAAGGAGCTGAAGATGTTTGCGATGGCAAACAAGGCTTCTGCCATCAAGGTAGGGTGCCACATTTCCCAATCATCTCTGGATTTGTACCCACGGAACTGTTTAAAATAAAAATAATGACACAAATAAGCAAAAATCCTACACAAGTGTCAATTTTTTCATTAATTACTTCATGTTAAATTGTTGCATAATTGTCATAACAATTCTAAAATAATTTTATTCAACAGAGTAAAATGTCTTCGTTAATTCCCTACCTTGATGAATGCAACAATCTTCAGAGAAATGGTTGCAATGTACAATGAATTCATTATGAAGTCCATTATGTTCCACCAGTCGTCCATGTAGTCCTTAAAACCACTATCCCACATTTGTTTAATCTCAGTCCATATAAAACCTCACAGAGATAAACAAACAAGCGGTAAGCTGCTGTAGCAACGTCACCAATCAAGCATGACTGTGAAGAATAATTGCATTTTGTGCTAAAAATAATAACAAATTTGTGGCACTTGCATTGATGAATATACATTTACAATAAGCACCAAATGTCCACTCTTTTAAATTTTTGACTATTATACACTTTACACCACAAAGTATGCAAACAATGTGTGCATTATTACCAATCACCCAGGGCAGGATGATCCATTCCACAATAGTTGGTGCCGGGCCCTGACAATTTGCAGCCAGGTAACCTGGATTCTGTGTGTTAATGTGCTGCGAGGCCAAGAAGAGCAGGAAGAGGAAGGTCAGGTAGGAAGCAGTGTGGCAGATGAACTTGATGAACGGCTTTCGGATGAACAAGCCATAGCGGCTTTTTGGAGAAATCAAGTAGAGGATGGATAACAGTGGAAAGAGGAGGCCAATGAAGATGCAGGTGATGAACTTTACTGCCCAGTGACGCCTCCTCCAACCTGGGAATTCATCATACCACCGAGACGCAAGGAGCTGCTGGCAGTTGGGCTGAGCAACAAACTGAGAAGAAGAGATAAAGAAAGGAAGATGAAAAATTAAATATTCTCCTCACTGTAGTGTTAAAAAATTCTAAATGTAACTAAATTCAAAGTTACCCATTTCCTACCCTTTTAACAGTTTACACACACCATTGAGAACATTTCTAAATGAGAAATCATGATTTTGTTATCTCACTGGATATAAATACCTCATAGGTTTTATTCACCACATGCATTGTAAAACACGTGCATTGTAAAACAGGAGTTAGATCACAAACACAGTGAAGCAGCATTGAAGCATTGACTATTGCATCAGTTTCCTACAATCATTTTCTCTCTCCACCGAAATTTGATATGAATGTCTGATGAACACTTGTAGATGGTGATGAATGTTAATTTCAGTTTAACAAAATTAAATCCAAATGGACCCTTGTAATGGTAGGCACAATATGGGATTAAAATTTGAGAGTATGAAGTCATAGATCTGAAGCTGAATCTGAAATGTTTTTGAAAACGTTCTTATGAGCCATACAATGACAGTAAGATGGCACCAGGAAAACGTCTGGTTTATCATGTGAAAAGTGCTTACTCAAATTATCACATCACATTTCATTATTTATTTCATCTAAAGTTTGTTCCTCCAGTCTGCTCCACATAAACATTTAAAAAGGGTTGAAAATCAGTCTTACAGTAAACACAAACACCTTATACCTGCTTCTCTCCTTAGTATTTTTATTATGTGTTTGTCTCACAGCCCCTTATCAATGGCTTTTTTATTTCTGAGGTTAGTTTTATTTAATAACAAGTGACAAAAACAAATCTAAGAATGCATATTCTGAAGCAGATTTTGAAGACTAAAAGGTTCCACCCTAATTAAAATATCATGAGTTTGTATTTCAAGGAAATGGCTGGTGCATCTTCCATCATTATACCTAATTATCCAGTCACCATGGGATTGCCTAAGAGGTCTACTGTAATGCATTTCTAAGAGCTAGACTGGCAATTATATGTTGTTCTAGAGTCCCAAAGGATGTCTCCACCCATTTCTGGCCATTTACGGTTCATCTGGGCACTTTTCATTTCTTTCAGTTCACATTGATTGAATACCCATTTGGAATAGGAAACTCTGTCCTTTTTCCAGTTTGTAATGTGTGTCACTGCACCACACAATAAATCTTATCTTGCTTATACAATATACATATTATTGTAGAAATTAAAGCCACAACAGTCAAAATAAAGAAAAGGCTTACTTCTTTCTGGCAATATTTGATAGCCAGCTTCAGCCGGGCCAGATCATTGATGTTCTCATCCATCAGAGGGTCGATGTCATCACGGTAGTTGAGGATTATTTGCAATTCTTTAGAGCTTCGAGTTTGGTCCAACAGGTCCTTTGCGAACTGCTTACACATTTGAGAAAGCTCCTCGTACTCTGACTTGAACTCATTCTCCATTGCGCTGAGCTCCTTCAGCTCCCAGCTGAGCTGAAAGGCAGTGAGGAATGGATCTTCACTAGAGAGGGCAATGAGAGATGGGCTGGCGAGGGCCTTGTAGATGTTGAGGCGCGAGCGGGAGAGACGCAGGCTATCCACATCTGGACTGGACATGCACTCCACGCAGTTGCATCGCACCGCGTGTGGCTGCGGCACGGAGACACCTCGCTGGAGGAGAAGTTTGATGATTTCATAGTTATTGGTGTGAGCTGCAAGGATGATTGGAGTAATATCTGGGGTGAAGTCGGAAAACTGTCTGTCCAATCGAAGCGGGGGGACCTTTTCACAAAAAGATGAAAAAAACATTAATGAGTAGACACGAAATTAACCCCAAGGGACACATTAATATTTTACTGATAGATGTTTAGAAACCCTTCACAGGAACTAACTATCTGAAAGGATATAGTTTAATGATCTCTGAGAATCACACGACTAATGGCTTGTGGTTAAACTGGTCTCAGAGATCTCCCTGGGTGGAAACAGCAATGTTTTTTTTCCTTTCTCTTCACAAAATACGCAGCCATTTAAAAATCAAGCTGCTTTGAGGATAAAAAAATGCATAGAAATTAAAATAGTTTATAAAATGCCTGAAAGAAGACAGACACATATCAGCATTTCTTTGTTTTATGCAATCAATGATATTCTCCCATTTAGTTACTATGTGACCTTTTGGTTTCAAACAGCATCCACACTCATCAAGCCTCTAAGGACGATGCATAAGAACATAGTTTTTTTTGTTTGTTTTGTTTTTGTGTGTAGAAAACCCATAAGATCACAATCACTGTCAACTTCTACAGAAATTGCAACAGACTGATGCCTCAGGTGCTTATTGGCCTTCTGGTTTCTCCCGGATCTTTGGGCTCAGTAACTCAAAAAGCATCCGGTGGGAAATGTAAAACTTTCTTTGGTTAAACAGCATTTGACATTTTAGATAAATCTGGAGCAGTTTCTTAAAGATGACCAGTTTTGTAGTCATGAATACCTGGCAACTTTTTCACATTTTTATTATGATTTGTTGCAATGTTTTCTTTATACATTGTCTTAAAGTGTAATGTTGTTCTATTATTTGAAATAGCTTTAATTTTTGTATTTTTGAAGGCCCATCTATGGATGTGCATCATATTAACATTTGTCTCTGAGTAAACAAACAGTACTGTATATGGAAGTAAATGAAAGCATTAGTGTGAAAGGTATTGATGGAATCAAACATATCTGTTGACACTTCATACCTGTTTTTCTCCTCGTGGTCTCTTGTGGTTGAGAAGCAGCTCCACAGCTCCCACTACTTCCTTACGAATGGCGTGCAGCAGGGCATCACCCACATGAATGTTGTAGCTTAGGAGCAGTTCTATGATCTCCAAGTTCTCGTTTTCAATGGCAATAAGGAGGGCCGTGCGTCCAAGGGGATCAATGCAGTTGATATTAATCCTGAAGTAGATCTCAGCCTCCTCCAGGGCTTGTTTAACACTTGCATAGTCACCTTTATCAACAGCCCCCAGGAAGGCTTTCTCCATGGGAGAGAGCTCAGCTTCTGCCCGTACAATCCGCAGGGGGATGCGGTCTCTGTACGAAGAACTGTCAGCTTTCTTGTAATACAGCTGTGACATTTTTTTTCTAAATTAATTCAGTTACAACTGGAAACTAACAGGGAATAAAAAGCAAAGAGAAAAATATGGGGTCAAATTTCAACATTAAATACATAAGTCTGATTTTAGAATAAAACATTTAAGAATATACTATTTTTAAAAAGTATTTTTACATTTAAGACATGATTTTGATTAAAACTGCTTTCCATTAAAGGAATTAAACATTTATTTTCCTCCCTTTTTTAGCAGAAAACTGTTAATCTCTAAAATTATGTGGAAATAATACAACCCTTGAGAAAAATGACAGCTTTTCACTTTGTTCATTTGGAATTCAGGACCTTAATAATTTAGAATTTAAAACTATGCAACTATCCTTTAACCCAAAAATCATATTTGAATGGTATTTTAAAGCTAATGTAAATGAAAATATATAACTATCAAATAGAACTTTCTTCAAAATATCTGAAAAATCAAAATAAAACATATCCTGCATAAACAGCGTCATCATCACACAACTGACTCATATAATCATGCACAAAGGAAACAGAAACTTTACCGTCCTCCTGTTGCTTCAGTTGGGATTTAATCCCTCATCAGTGGACCGCGCGCTGCAGCTGCCAGGGAGGGAAGTCCGTGGATCCTCCCTTGATCATCATCATCTAACTACCCAAAGATAACGTACGTGTGTGTGTGTGTACTTGTTTTTGCTACAGAGTGAGGACTGTCATATGTTTTTAACTAACAAAGTGAGGACATTTTTGGCAAGCGAGGACATTTTCTGGGTCTTCTTTTTTTTTTGTAGTTCTGCGCCCTCTAATAGTTAGGTCTAGAGGGGTGTGAATTAATATTTGGTTAAGGTTAGGGTTAGGAATAGATGGCTAGTTTGGGTTAGGATTAGATATGTACTGAGGTGGTTAGGTTTAGGGCAAGAGGTCAGGGTTAGAAATCACTGGTAAATGAGTGAAAATCAATGTAAAGTCCCTATCAGGATGAAATAACAAAAGTGTGTGTGTGTGTGTGTGTGTGTGTGTGTGTGTGTGTGTGTGTGTGTGTGTGTGTGTG